CCTAGTCTAGCAGATCAGGGCAGGGATCTGTTCATAGGGGACGTAATCACCAACGCCGGCCCGCACCGCGACCGGAAGCTCAAGTACTTCATCCCAGAGAGTGTGTTCGAGGGGCCCTACCCGCCCTACGCTGGGGGAGGAGGGTTCCTGTACTCTGGGCAACTGGCACTGCAGTTGCACAACATCTCCCAGCAGGTGGCGCTGTATCCTATTGATGATGTCTACACAGGGATGTGTCTCCAGAAGCTGGGCTTGGTCCCGGAGAAGCACAAGGGCTTCAGGACTTTTGACATTGACGAGAAATACAGGGGCAACCCGTGCGCGTATAAGAGCTTAATGCTCGTGCACAGCAGGACGCCGCAGGAGATGATCAAAATCTGGGCCTGGCTCAGCGATCCGGAATTGGACTGTCAGTGAGACATCTACAGCATCCCACATTACACCCTATTCTCTACATAGTGCACTATTTTTGACCAGAGACCTATGGGCCCTGGTCAAAAGTAGTGTACTATATAGGGAATAGGCTGCCATTTGGCATGCATCCAATGGGTATTTGAGAAATGTGTTTGATGTGTTCTAAGTGCTTTATTTTGGTTTTTGTGGAATTCACAAAATGCTTGAGGTTCGGTAGCAATGCTGCATTCACGTGCTAGTCAGAACTCTGAAATGTATGACTTGCTAACTAGTTGTAGTTATACACGTGCCGCGTTTAACCAGTTAGCAAGTCGAACATTTTCGAGTTTCCTAGTTCCAGCTTCAATAGAATCAGCTGATATAACCCAAGCATTCCAAAGTATTTTTTACATGAGCAACCATTCATGTACACTTTTCAAGACAGTGTTTGGCAAATGTAGTATCATTAATAGAAATGTACTACTACTGAATGTACTATACAGGCACTATTGCAAGCGAGGTCCTTCATTTGCAAGAAATGTAATTTGTCACAATAACAGTAATATGTGAAAATCAACTACGATTTGGGGGGGAAAATCCATATCACTTTGAATAGTAAAAAGACAGTTCTCTGCAAAATGGCTGTTTTTCCATACTGTTATGCCAATACACAGGGTGGTGTATTGCTGTAAGCTTTCTCAATGGATCTGACGTTCCTTTGCACTTGATTCTAGAAACAAACTATTTATGATATTTGAAAGATTGCTGGATTATTATAACTCTTAAAGCTGGAATCCGTAGCGGTGAAACTGCCATGTCCGTTTGTGCGATATTACAACAACAAAGAAGTTACTTAAAACAACGAACACTGTTTTTTTCCTTCAGATATCATTGAACATCATCACACACGCGATAGAACAGCAGAGCACACTGAGTGTACAAAACATGAAGGACACCTTCCTAATATCGAGTTGCACCCTCCCTTTTGCCCTCAGAACAGCCTCAATTCGTCGGGGCATGGACTCTACAAGGTGTTGAAAGCGTTCCACAGGGATGCTGGCCAATATTGACTCCAATGCTTCCCACAGTTGTGTCAAATTGGCTGGATGTCCTTTGGGTGGAGGACCATTCTTGATACACATGGGAAACTGTTGAGCGTGAAAACCCAGCAGCGTTGCAGTTCTTGACATAAACGGGTGCACCTGGCACATACTACCATACCCTGTTCAAAGGCACTTCAATCTTTTGTCTTGCCCATTCACCCCCTGAATGGCACACAAACAATTCATGTCTCAATTGTCTCAAGGCTTAAAAATCCTTCTTTAACCTGTCTCCTCCCCTTCATCTACACTGATTGAAGTGGATTTAAGAAGTGACATCAATAAGGGATCATAGCTTTCTCCTGGTCAGTCTGTCATGGAAAGAGCAGGCGTCCTTAATGTTTTGTACACTCAGTGTATGTAAATATATTTTTTTTACCACACTTATCGAGCTCCTCTTCTCTGTTTCATAAACAAAACAAAAACAATAACAAATGTGCCTGGGGTGACCAGTGACTCTAAATATTTATTGAATAATCCAGAATTTTAAGGCGTTAGTAGTCCTGTGACCCATTGTTTTATTCTGCGGTAGTCAGATGTTATGTGTGTGCGGCAGGCCGCGTGCATGATAGAGAGAGAGTGTGAATGCTGCTCTTTCTGTATACCCACAACAGTGGAGGCTGGTGAGGGGAGGACGGCTCAATAATAATGGCTGGAATGGAGCGAATGGGATGGCATCAAACCATGTGTTTGATGTATTTGATATCATTCCACTTATTCCGCTCCAGCCATTACCACGAGCCCGGCCTCCCCAATTAAGGCGCCAACAACCTCCTGTGACTCACAAGCCTATAATGGAATCAACTGGGTCTGTACTTTCAACTCCAACTCCATTTTCTGCCCTATGTTCGTTTTGTTTTTATGTTTTCAGAATGTGTCTTATGTGATGGATACCTGGAGTATTTCAATTCTTTATGACAGTGAATAAGAAACTATTCAAACATCAAACCTTGGAATCACTCTTGTGCTTCAAAGTTGGTCTGAATCATAAAGGACTCACTAAAGGTACCATACCTTGTTAAGCTTTGCTAAACTATTGCTCTACTTTTATTAATAGTAGCTTTAGGCTACTTAAAGTGCACAAAAATAAGTATCTGTTCACTACTGTATACAAAACATCAAACGTTCAGAATAAACATCTTTACTATTGGATAATTAATAATTGATGGAAGTGTCTTTCTTGTAAATATATTTTTATTTATAAAGTACTTGGTAAGATAAAGGTATAACATATAATACTTGTGTTGATGCTGAGAAGTAGAGCTGCAGAAGACAAGTTATTTTACCTACAACAGTGTAGCAGTGACACCTAGTGGATACAACCCATTTAGACCAGAAGCACACGAATATCAAGGCGTGCTAATTAGCTAATTGGCAATATATTTCACCTGTTTAAGTCCACTTTCGGTGGAAACGGAAAGAAACACCGCAGGGAATAATTGACAATAGCTGGGACAGTGTAGGAAGCAGACCTGTTTGCTAAATACTGGAAAAAGTCAACACAACGTGACACAAAAATGTCACGAAATCATTCTAAGTTACTATTTGTACGTGCACTACTACTTGCATATGGTTTATTTACTGCAAACTGCGACCTGTCCTGGGTAAGTTGATGACTGACTTCCTTCTACAAGCATTTTCCCTACATTTCGCTGGAGATTGTAGGTAGATTTGAAGATGTTGACTATAACATTCTTGGTTTAATGCTATCTCAACGTTTTTATTGCGTCCTTAGACAAATAGGAATGACGCTTACAACCCTCCGGGTAAGACAAATATTTATTACGTAGCAACTGGGCCTGTACTATGCTCTTTGGTGAATTCTTTCAACAGAACATTACTACGTTTGTGTGCGCATGCGTGCGTAACTGTGAATCTGCATGCGTGTGTGTCTTGTTTAGGCCTATAACTCTGACATTTGGACATCATTGGATTGTCCTCCACACTCTCTGTCCACCTCTTCTCAGATGAACCACCACCATGGTAATGAGGGCAACGCCTTCTTCGCGCTGCGGAGCTGCCACCAGGTGATGCGCGGCGAGAGTGGCGAGTTCTTCTCCCCGGACTACCTGTGCTCCAACCCACCGCTCTGGTGCAACTGGACCATCCAGGTAGACCCTGGTAAACGCGTGCTCCTCCACCTAGAGGACCTCACCCAGTCAGACGCATGCAGTGGGAAGCTGGACCAGATCCACCTGGATGAGCCCCTGGGGGTTGCAGGGGGTCACAGGATACTGGAGAAGTGTTGGCGTGAGGCCAAGTACACGTCCCTCTCCAACATCCTCCACGTGGTTCAGCTGATCAGAGGCAAACCCAGTCCGCCCCACAGGGGCTTCTATGGGCGATACGAGGCATTCGTACTGCCAGTCACGTACAATGCTTATGGTGATACCACCGAAGAAGACAGGAAGCTGATGACTGAACCAAAAGCGAAAGAACCGGAACCCTTTCCCTCTCCGAGAAGTTTCACCCAGTTTCTCCCCATGAAGGGGGGTGAACCTACAGAGGCCGTTTTACTGGAGCGGCCCACCCTGCCAGCTCAGACCAACCCGGAGGTGGTGTTTGACTATTTCGACGAACTCACTTCCTCCTCTACGTCCAATGAGCTTCCACCATGGGAAGCAGAGGAGCCAATGATCAGACAGGGGTCCTTCAAGTTTTCTCCTGTTCAGAGAGAGGAAGAAGATTGGAACAGAGGAGTCTCGGAGGGGACTGAAGCAGACGAGAGCCACCTGACAGAGGAAGACTGGGAAGTGGGTAACTTTAGTGGAGATGTGGTGGACCATGAGTCCCATCTGCCCTTGACTCCCACTCCCCCCATGGTGGTCACTCGTCAGGGGACATCATGGTCAGGGAGGGGTGCCACTCAGACCCACACAGCTCACCCTGGAAGTGACCCCTCCACACACCAGCCCCCTGTTTTGAATCCCAAACCCTCGCCACGCACTCCGTCTGCAATGCGAAGGAACGTGGATGCCCAAACTCAAACTTCAAATACCATCCCTCCTACGGAGTCTAACATCGTGTCACACACAGACATGGATGACCAAGGTGTGGAGTCTGGCAATAAGGAATTGCAGAAAATGACCATGGATGAGTCTACAGCACCCAGTGACACCCATACAACCATTGAGACCCAGGATCCCTTCGACCACCTCCCAAACGTAGTTGAACTGTTCTTCGACAGCAGACATTATGGTAGGTAGTCTGCAATTTCATTTGCATCCTTTGTTGTCTGGTTCATGAAAACTCTTGCATGTTGACTTTGCAGAGAAAGCCAGAAATCACACCGAAGTACCACACTTACCAGAAGGTGAGTTTTAGTATTTTTTTCAAAAGGGTCGTTTTAATACAATTCAAAGGCTATAACAAAAGTTGCAAGTCACTCGCCTTTGTACAATAGTTATAGAGCTGTGTATGAGTATTAAAGGAGATGCCTACTTTCTCTGTTTCTCAGACCACCTATTTGAGGTGGCTGTTGAAGTCAACTTCCTTGTGGCGCCAGAGGAGAATTGGGACCATCTTGTGAGATCACTGTTGATTTCAGTGAAGTCTCTGGTGAGCTATCTCATGAACAATAGAGCCCCTCAGTGGAGGTGTCATAATACCCATAAAACTTAGCGGTCAGACAGGGAAATGGTACCAATTGTTTTTCCACCATTCATTTTTCCCATAGGGGATTTTAAAGAAAGGGCTGTGTTTCATGTAGGCTTACACTGGCGTGAGTTTTGATAACCATTTAAATATCTCTCGGACAAGGTGACTTTTATCAATGTATTAGTCTATTTACTCTCATTCTAAAATGCTAATTAGCATCAAAGTAGACATCATGCAAAACTACAAATCCCTGCAAGCTCCTGCACGTCATCTCTAGCTGACACCTTTGCTAACAGGTATTGTATCAATTTAAAACTTGCACAAGAAAGTTCACAGAATTGTCCATTTAAAGAAATGTAGCCAATTTATGAATTACTACATTTAGCTAACATTAGATAGTTAATCCAGAGATTTTTGCCTCGATTCGGCAGGCTCGTCCAGATCATGGCATTTGTAGTTCTTTATGATGGCCACATTAGTAGCTAATTAGCATTTCATTTTGGGGGGGATAAATACAAGCGAAATATTGATAAAAGTCACCTTGTCCTAGAGAGATTTACACGGTTAGCAAAACGTCACGCCAGGGTAAGCCTAAAATCCCCTATGGGAAAAATGATTGGACCATTTCCCTGTTTGACCGCTAGGCTTTATGGGATTTATGACTGACTGTGGTACTCTAGAACTTTCTTCATAAATGGATGTCATCTTACAGTGCCTTCAGAAAGTATTCATACCCCTTGACTTATTCCACATTTTGCTTGTTATGGAATAAATTGAATTTTTTCCTCACCCATCTACACACAATACCCCATAATGACAAAGTGAAAACATGTTTTTAGAAATGTTTGCTTATTTACAGAAATATCATCTACATTTGTATTCCCACACCTGAGTCCGTACTTTGTAGGAGCACCTTTGGCAGCAATTACAGCTGAGTCTTTCTGGGTACATCTCTAAGAGCGTTCCACACCTGGATTGTGCAACATTTGCCCATTGACTATTTTCAGAATTCTTCAAGCTGTCAGATTGGTTGTTGATCAATGCTAGACTACCATTTTCAGGTCTTGCCATAGATTTTCAAGTAGATGTACGTCAAAACTGTAACTCGGCCACTCTGGGACATTCACTGTCTAATTGGTAAACAACTCCAGTGTAGATTTGGCCTTGTGTTTTAGGTTATTGTCCTGCTGAAAGGTTACATCTCAGTGTCTTGTGGAAAAGACTGAACCATGTTTTCCTCTAGGATTTAGCCTTTTTATTCTGGAAAAACTCCCCTTAACGATTACAAGCATTCCTATAACATTATGCAGCCACCACTATGCTTGAAAATATGGAGATTGGTACTCAGTTGTGTTGTATTGGATTTGCCCCAAACGTAAAACGTTGTATTCAGGACAAAAAGTGAATTGCTTTTCCACATTTTCTGCAGTATTACTTTCGTGAATGTTGCAAACAGGATGTATGTTTTGGAATATTTTTATTCTGTACAGGCTTCCTTTTCACTCTCAGTTAGGTTAATATTGTGTAGTAACTATACTGAACAAAAATATAAACGCAACATGTGAAGTGTTGGTTTCATGAGCTGAAATAAAAGATCCCAGAAATGTTCCATATGCACAAAAAGCTTATTTCTCTCAAATGGTGTGCACACATTTGTTTACATCCCTGCTAGTGAGCATTTCTCCTTTGCCATGATAATCCATCCACTTGACAGGTGTGGCTTATCAAGATGATTAACGGCATGATCATTACACAGGTGCACCCTTGTGCTGGGGACAAAAGTCCACACTAAAATGTGCAGTTTTGTCACACAACACAATGTCGCAGATGTCTGAAGTTTTGAGGGAGCGTGCAATTGGCATGCTGACTGCAGGAATGTCCACCAGAGCTGTTGCCTGAGAATGTTCATTTTGGCAGTACGTCCAACAGGCCTCACAACCGCAGACCACGTGTAACCACGCCAGCCCAGGACCTGCACATCCGGCTTCTTCACCTGCGGGATCGTCTGGGACCAGTCAACCGGACAGCTGACAAACTGTGGGTTTGCACAACCAAAGTTTCTGACTGTTTGTGCAGAAATTCTGTCTCAGGGAAGCTCAGCTGTGTGCTCGTCGTCCTCACCAGGGTCTTGACCTGACTGCAGTTTGGCGTCATAACTGATTTAAGTAGGTAAATGCTCACCTTCACTGCCACGCTGAACAAGTGTGCTCTTCACGGATGAATCCCAGTTTCAACTGTACCAGGCAGATGTCGTGTGGGTGAGCGGTTTGCTAATGTCAACGTTGTGAACAGAGTGCCCCATGGTGGGGTTATGGTATTGTCAGGCATAAGCTACGGACAACAAACACAATTGCATTTTATCAATGTTAATTTGAATGCACAGAGATACTGTAACGAGATCCTGAGGCCCATTGTCATGCCATTCATCCGCTGCCATCGCCTCATGTTTCAGCATGATAATGCACTGTCACAAGTATCTGTACACAATTCCTGGAAGCTGAAAATGTCCCAGTTCTTCCATGGCCTGCATACTCACCAGACATGTCACCCATTGAGCATGTTTGGGATGCTCTGGATCGACGTGTACGGCAGCGTGTTTCAGTTCCCACCAATGTTCAGCAACTTCACACAGCCATTTGAAGAGGAGTGGGACAACATTCCACAGGCCACAATCAACAGCCTGATCAACTCTATGCAAAGGAGACGTCACGCTGCATGAGGTAAATGGTGGTCACCAGAAACTGACTTGGTTTCTGATCCACTCCCCTACCTTTCTTTTTAAGGTACAGTGGGGAAAAAAAGTATTTAGTCAGCCACCAATTGTGCAAGTTCTCACACTTAAAAAGATGAAAGAGGCCTGTAATTTTCATCATAGGTACACGTCAACTATGACAGACAAAATGAGAAAAAGAAAATCCATAAAATCACATTTGTAGGATTTTTAATGAATTTATTTGCAAATTATGGTGGAAAATAAGTATTTGGTCAATAACAAAAGTTTCTCAATACATTTATATACCCTTTGTTGGCAATGACACAGGTCAAACGTTTTCTGTAAGTCTTCACAAGGTTTTCACACACTGTTGCTGGTATTTTGGTCCATTCCTCCATGCAGATCTCCTCTAGAGCAGTGATGTTTTGGGGCTGTCGCTGGGCAACACGGACTTTCAACTCCCTCCAAAGATTTTCTATTTGGTTGAGATCTGGAGACTGGCTAGGCCACTCCAGGACCTTGAAATGCTTCTTACGAAGCCACTCCTTTGTTGCCCGGGCGGTGTGTTTGGGATCATTGTCATGCTGAAAGACCCAGCCACGTTTCATCTTCAATGCCCTTGCTGATGGAAGGAGGTTTTCACTCAATCTCACGATACATGGCCCCATTCATTCATTCCTTTACACGGATCAGTCGTCCTGGTCCCTTTGCAGAAAAACAGCCCCAAAGCATGATATTTCCACCCCCATGCTTCACAGTAGGTATGGTGTTCTTTGGATGCAACTCAGCATTCTTTGTTCTCCAAACACGACGAGTTGAGTTTTTACCAAAAAGTTCTATTTTGGTTTCATCTGACCATATGACATTCTCCCAATCCTCTTCTGGATCATCCAAATGCACTCTAGCAAACTTCAGATGGGCCTGGACATGTACTGGCTTAAGCAGGGGGACACAGGATTTGAGTCCCTGGCGGCGTAGTGTGTTACTGATGGTAGGCTTTGTTACTTTGGTCCCAGCTCTCTGCAGGTCATTCACTAGGTCCCCCCCGTGTGGTTCTGGGATTTTTGCTCACCGTTCTTGTGATCATTTTGACCCCACGGGGTGAGATCTTGCGTGGAGCCCCAGATCGAGGGAGATTATCAGTGGTCTTGTATGTCTTCCATTTCCTAATAATTGCTCCCACAGTTGATTTCTTCAAACCAAGCTGCTTACCTATTGCAGATTCAGTCTTCCCAGCCTGGTGCAGGTCTACAATTTTGTTTCTGGTGTCCTTTGACAGCTCTTTGGTCTTGGCCATAGTGGAGTTTGGAGTGTGACTGTTTGAGGTTGTGGACAGGTGTCTTTTATACTGATAACAAGTTCAAACAGGTGCCATTAATACAGGTAACGAGTGGAGGACAGAGGAGCCTCTTAAAGAAGTTGTTACAGGTCTGTGAGAGCCAGAAATCTTGCTTGTTTGTAGGTGACCAAATACTTATTTTCCACCATAATTTGCAAATAAATTCATTAAGAATCCTACAATGTGATTTTCTGTTTTTTTTTTTTTTTTCTCAATTTGTCTGTCATAGTTGACGTGTACCTATGATGATAAATTACAGGCCTCATCTTTTTAAGTGGGAGAACTTGCACAATTGGTGGCTGACTAAATACTTTTTTCCCCCACTGTATCTGTGACCAACAGATGCAGATCTGTTTTTCAGTCATGTGAAATCCATAGATTAGGGCCTAATGAATTTATTTCAATTGACTGATTTCCATACACAGTATGAACTAACTGTTTTAAAGTCCCCGTTGGCCTCATGGTGAAATCCCTGAGCGGTTTCCTTCCTCTCTGGCAACTGAGTTAGGAAGGACGCCTGTATCTTTGCAGTGACTGGGTGTATAGATATACCATCCAAAGTGTAATTAATAACTTCACCATGCTCAAAGGGATATGAAGCTTTTTTTAATTTTTACCCATCTACCAATATGTGCCCTTTGCATTGGAAAACCTCCCTGGTCTTTGTGGTTGAATCTGTGTTTGAAACTCACTGCTCGACAGAGGGACCTTAAAGATAATTGTATGTGTGGGGTACAGAGATGAGGTACTCATTCAAAACTCATGTTAAACACTATTGCGCACAGTGAGTGCATGCAACGTATTAAGCACATTTTACTCCTGAACTTATTTAAGCTTGCCATAATAAAGGGGTTGAATACTTCTTGACTCAAGATATTTCAGCTTTTTTATTTGTAAACATTTCAAAATGCATAATTCCACTTTGACATTATGGGGTTGTGTGTAGGCCAGTGACGACAATCTCAATTTCATCAATTTTAAATTCGGGCTGTAACAAATCAAAATGTGGAATAAGACTGTATATGGCTTTTGATTATTTACCATTAGATTGGACTGGTGCAGTTGAGATTTGGAACTGCAATTATTCATTTGTTTTTCAGATCAATGAGCAGTTGGAAATTGTCCACACACCCAAAACCCTATCCTCCAAAAGAATAAAAAGGTTGGTTTGCTACGTTTTGTAACCAAGAGCTCCAAATGTTTTTCTTGACTGCAAACAAATGCTTGTATTTAAAATGTGTTTTTACTCCATAAAAGGGGTTGTGTTGGCACTGTAGATAATAGTTTTACTGAATTAGGCTACAACTGATGGATTGAATGCCTTTTTTAACTGAGTTTTGTTGTTGTATCAACAGGTTGAGTGCAGGAGTGCTTTACATCCTCTGGCTGCATATTGGGGGTGGGCCAGAAGGGGTGAAGGTTCACAGGACCTTGCACCTGGCCCTGCAGGAGCTGTTAGAGAGGGTGGTTAGCCCCAGGGGCAGCTCAACACGGGGTGTCATCGTCTCTGTTTCCACCGCTGGTAGGTCTCAATAAAGTTCCCTCCAAACAAATATAAATCTGTAGCTTGTTCTTTTGCACTTTACTCTGCTCTTTACTAATGGCACTAAAGGTTACTGCGGAAGTTTAATAAGATATTGTGTTGTATAGATATAGTATAGCCTGCAACTAGGTGTCCTGAATTTCATTGTCTTGGGTGGAGGTGAAAAATGTATTGGTTTGACATTAAATATGAAAATAAATCAGTGCAAATCAATTATTTAATCACTCCAGTAAGCAACCTTACTTTTGCACCCTGTGTGTCTGTCTCAGATGTAAACGAGTGTGTGACCCATCTGGTGCTGTGTGATATCAATGCTGAGTGTGTGAACCGCTTTGGTTCCTACACATGCCGCTGCCACTCCGGGTTCGAGGACAAGTCTAGGCTGGGCTCAGGAACCATGTGCGTGGACACCAAGGCCGCTGGTACGGACCGCCACAATGAGTCGACGATTACGGTGGATCAGCATAGTCCTGAGCAGCCGCACCGTAACACTGGTACTCCATAGATTTTGGTAGAATTATTGTGAATTGTTCTCTGAAGTACAAGGAAAACATACAGTATGACATTGGTTAGTTCAAAATCAGTGGCACTGAAGTTGACAAGTTAGACCACCACCCTAACGTTCCCGATTTAACCCCTGAAAATGGGTTTGTTTGGTTACCCTAACAGAATGTTGGACATAAAAGTGCATGGTTATAAAGGTGACTTTGCACTAGGTAAATTGTGTACTTCTAATCCTTGCCTAACTTTTGACTTTAGGCTGTACTTCGGCGCGGTCCAGCGGGATGATCAAAGGAATCTACGTGGTGTGCTTCCTGCTCAGCTTCCTCATCCTGCTGCTCCTCTGTACCGTGGGCGTGCTGTACCACCGCCACCACGGGGGGGCCTTCCTGGTCCACTGTCGGAGCAGCAGCCTTGGGAGCGTCCCCCCCATCCCCCCTCCTGACTACAAAAACAACGAATGCAACGACAACCGTTCCATCCGCACTAACTCAGAGCTGCCCCCTCCGCCCCCACCCATACGGCGCCCTAAGGAGGGCTGGTCTCACCCCAAGGATTGCTGCCCCTCGGTGGACCTGCCCCTGCTGCGCTTCAAACCCCCTGCTGCCTCTTGATGGGTACATGGAGCCAGGGGAGGGTGTCAAGATTTGAAGATTGCTTTGAGGTTGTCCTGAAGGTGCAATGACAGCATTGAGACCCTGTTCTGGGCAGGTTGACTTCACTGTTTCATGAGTTCATTATTTTTCTGTAGATATCTTTGCCTAAAATGTAAATGAAATATCTTGACTGTTATTACCTTTAGTATGGCATTATCTTTGTGTAGTTTGGAAATGTTATTTGACGTATTCTTTGGATCATTGTATCGAGTATATTTCAGGAGTTCTATTTTTTTGTGCGCAACTTGTCCATGTTTGGGAAGATTGTCTATGCTCTCCACACAAGGGGATTAATCTTTCTGACCAAAACAGATTCACTTCAATTAAATAAATGTTCACTTGGCTCTACATTCCTTTAATCTTTTTTTTTTTTAAATATTGAAATGGAAAAGTACAATTACTGTGACTGAAAGTAAGCTACTTTGTTTCATATGCTGCAGTTGGACTACAGGCATATTAGCTGTTTAGAATTATGTCTCAAATAAACTCATTTCTTTACTGGTAAGGGGACAAGGCTACAGAAAGCAGACCATAATAAATAAATAAAAATACGCATATCACAGCGCACCTGTGCACTGATGAAAGGCACCGTGCTTTTCCCACAAGGTGGCAGCGCGTGATAGGAAGTGTCTGGAAAAGGCTCAGTTTTCGACTGGGTAAATACAAAGTTTGTTTTCCTCTGTGGTTCTTAAAAAATATATGTAAAAAAACCCAAGGGTTTCCTGAAAACGTAAAACAAATACAGGAGCAAAGGCAAGCCCCCATGACCCCCACCGTCGGAGAATAGATGAAGAAACGGTAAGAATGAGCCATTGTGCCTCTGAAAGATGATGAAATTCTAGACCCCCGCGCACCTAATCTGTGGCTCGAGCTCAGAAATGTTAATCCCCAGTCTGTCGAAAAAATTAGGTGGTAGATTGTATTTTGTCGTTGAAATGTCACGGTGTCAAACAGTACCCTTTCATTTGTTCCACTGCCAAAATGCTATGCAAGGAAATTGCATAATGATAAAGTTCGCTGACTGAATTTCATTAGGCTATAGACCTACCTGCTCTGCTCAGAGGCCTAACCAGTTAACCGAGCCAAATTATTCATATTTCAGAAATGACATAGCATACGCCTGTAGGAATATTTCAAATGGTGTAGCTAGGCCTACTAAAATTCCTTGCATGATTCACCAATGTCCACAGTAAAAAATAAAGAATGAGGCATACCTTTCACTCAAAAGTGCTTTGATTCTAATTGGAGTGTAAAACAATGCCACTTGCCTGGCTGAGAAGTTTGACATTCTCCTTTACTCATGTCACTGCCCTAATAAAGACAAACCAATTAATACAATATGGCTGATAACAAGAGAAAACTGCTCTTTTGAAGGAAACAAATATATGCATTTGAATGGTAGAGAAGCTAACTCAAGATACGGGTGGGCAGACAGGTCCCTATGTGAGTTGTTGCTATTGGATGGGGAGCAGAGTTTGCATCTTATGCAGGCGGGAAGTGCGTTTAACAGGCTAATCTTTGGCCGGCCAGGCGGGGTGGGGAGACAGGGTGGTCCACCTAGTCCAAACCACATTAATAGGCTTACACCACCTAATCCAAGGCAGTGTGCTGTCACATGGGAAGTCTGCTGACCTTACTTTATTTTATTGCAGGGCACTTGCTCTTCAGCCCTTTTGTGCTCAAACCCGCTCAAACCCTGTTTTCTTTTCAGGAGTAAATGTCCCTTTATAAAATTCTCGGTGCCTTTCCTTCATGTCCGTGTTCAAGGGCTGGACATGAAATGAGACTGTCACTGTGATGTGTAGACTAGATTTACCACCACAGTAGTCCTCCAGCCCTGAGGCAGTACAATTTGAACAAACTGCCTTGAGCCGTTCTATCGGAATCGCTGTCAGTTTCCTTAGGGCTATGACACATTGACAGTTATGTACAGCCTAACAGCTAGCCTAAATGTAAACTAGTAGGCTATATATGATAAAATGTTGGTTGGAATGGGATTCAAGCTTGATAATGGATATGGGGGCCTCATCTGAGGCTTTGATCCAACATATTGTGTGTGTGTGTGTGTTTACTTAATGTGTGTGTTTTAGTGTTGTCTGTGGTGGTCTGGTAGGTGGGCGACAGACAGATCACTCCTCCAGATGTACTCTCAGCATCTGCTCTTCCACTGCTGCCTCCCTCCCTCGCCCCACGCTGGTCTCCCCCCCCCCCCCCCCCGTGAATCAGATGCCAGGGCCCCTGAACCTGGGCCTTCTTTGTTGCTGCTCTGAATGCCTCTCATGTCCGCTAGGTAGAATTGGCAAGGACAGCGGGCTCTGGGCAGCGATCCACAGGGCAGTGGGGAGAGGTGACGCCTCCGGCCGCTCACAGTGGGCCCTCTGGCGGAGCCGGGGGTCGAGGGCACCCCTCCCTGTGGTTGGCCTTGCCTGGTCCCCCCCATGCCGTCCACCGAGTCACGCTGAGCTCACCTGCCTGCCATGCAGCGTCATCTGGCCATAATCCCCCCATCCTCTACATCTCCCTACCTTCCTCTGCTCAGATGCATTGTAACAGTGGGTGTGAGACTGTTCTGTTAAGAATGGGGGAGTGTTATGCTCAGGTATGTATTTTCTTTTGCTTGGCTTTAGGTGGTTCTGGCTGCTCTGAGGCATTTCACAAAATGGTGTTAAGAGGTCCCAGATATTACATGTATTCACCAACGAGCTTGACCCTCAGGGGGCACAAACAGAAGGGTTTGTATCTTGATGACAGTGATGAAATCTGCAGTGGTATATTTTACAGGCCTAGACTACGGTATATAGTAGGGGTAAACGCTACATGCAAACGCCTGTATATTGTACTGGTTACGATTTGGGCCGATGTTACGGTGCTATGTTTCTGTCCGATGCTCACTGGTATCTGTAAGGCTGAATGTCAGGGCCATTACTCTTAAAGGTAGCCATGGGGAGACCCGAACTGGGAGCCATGTAACTACCTCTTGCAATACAGTGGCACTGCCTCCAACACACTAAAGCTAATGCTTACGGGCATAAAGGACGACCTAACGCCAGTAGCCAATGCCACCAGCTAGATCGCTCCGCTAGCATATGCCACAAGTGTCTTTATGTGCTGTTACATTGTTGTATGGTATTTACAGATTTTCTCGATTGCTTGAGCACATTTGTCCAAACAGAATTCACTTTTTCAAAACAATTAACACGCAGCCCCAAACTGAAACATGTTGGCCAAAATGACACATTAAATAGACTTTCAAAACATTAAATACATGACACAAAATCAATTACCTCCATCAAAACATACAACTTGTTATCTAATGAAAAGTTATTTCAATCAATCCTTACACAATGGCCCAATAAATACTAACTATCAATATATCCTAACATGGTTATCCCTCTTTATATCTCGGGGCCATCTGTTGATACTGTAATTATAGTATGCACTATAAAAGGCAAGTAAACATATTATCACAGCATTACTGTATTCTTTTTTCCTAAAATGATTTTACTAAAGATGACCAATGCAGAAAGAATGTCACTCAAGAGCATGAATATCCAGAAACAAAAGGCTTTATTTGACCTTTTTCCATTTTAACTAAGAGCTGAACTACACTACTCAAAGGTGTGTGGACACCCCTTCAAATTAGTGGATTTGGCTATTTCAACCACACCCGTTGTTGACAGTTGTATAAAATCGAGCACACAGCCATTCAATCTCCATAGACAAACATTGGCAGTAGAATGGCCCGTACTGAAGAGCTCAGTGACTTTCAACGTGCCACCGTCATAGGATGTCACCTTGCCAACAAGTCAGTTCGTCTAATTTCTGCCCTGCTAGAGCTTCCCCGGTCAACTGTATGTGCTGTTATTGTGAAGTGGAGACGTCTAGGAGCAACAACGGCTCAGCTGCAAAGTGATAGGCCACACAAGCTCACAGAACGGGACCGCAGAGTGCTGAAGCACGTAGCGCGTAAAAATCTGACGGACGAAGTTTGGCGGAAGCCAGGAGAACGCTACCTGCCCGAATGCATAGTGCCAACTGTAAAGTTTGGTGGAGGAGGTATAATGGTCTGGGGCTGTTTTTTATGGTTCAGGCTCCTTAGTTCCAGTGAAGGGAAATCTTAACGCAACATACAATGACATTAACTACAGCATACAATGACATTCTAGACGATTCTGTGCTTCCAACTTTGTGGCAACAGTTTGGGGAAGGCCCTTTCCTGTTTCAGAATGACAATGCCCCTGTGCACAAAGCGAGGTCCATACAGAAATGGTTTGTCAAGATCGTTGTGGAAGAACTTGACTGGCCTGCACAGAGCCCTGACTTCAACCCCATAGAACACCTTTGGGATGAATTGGAATGCCGACTGCGAGCCAGGCCTAATCGCCCAACATCAATGCCTGACCTCACTAATGCTCTTGTGGCTGAATGGAAGCAAGTCCCTGCAGCAATGTTCCAACATCTAGTGGAAAGCCTTGCCAGAAGAGTGGAGGCTGTTATAGCAGCAAAGGGGGGACCAACTCCATATTAATGCCCATGATTTTGGAATGAGGTGTTTGACGAGCAGGTGTCCATGTAGTGTATCTTCCTCTATTGGCCCCTCTACCTCTCCTTTGTCCTTGCCCTCGGCCTCTTACTTGGTCCATTCTTGCAAACAGCAACTCAGAGGTGACCTCTTTTATGCATGATTAAGGACTGATTGCTGATTGAACAATTGTGCAAATAAGTTTTGCACATGTGCAGAAGAGGTTCACATTCATGGGAGTAATTTGTGTAATCTTTGACCAAATGTTTTAATTTTGTTTGACATGATTTACTCAACTGACTTTTGCGTCTTTTGTAGGGAGTTGTGTTTACTCTGCAAAAATGTGCCTAGCATTTGCATTATGTGTGAAAGCAATGAGAAATGACTTACAGTTTTGCAAAAAATAATACTGTTGCGCTCATTAGGTTACGATGGA